TTCAGGCATTATCCCTTTAAATCTTTAACTCCGCACATTGGTAAAAATCTAATTGTACGCGTGTAGTTGAAAGTAAAATAAAAAAAAACAATAATGCCACATTTGCAAACTCAGAAACACCGTGAACACGAATAAAGGGGAAAAACTTCAAATTTCAACACAATAAAAACACGTACAATACATTGGAATTTACTACGATAAAGTAAACAAATATAAAAGCATTCCTAAAATAGTCGCGTGAAGGGTATTAGAATTGCAACACTCACTCGAAAACACGCGACCACATGCAACCAAAAGGGGTTAAACTGAAATCCGAATACCTTGAACATTTATCGCTGAAAAGTAACTCCCACTCCTACTAGTCCCACGTATTCTAAGTTATCAGAATTGTGATCCAGAATTGACGTCCAACACGACTTAATAGGCACTTGGCTTTGACCACAGCTTTGACATACTTCGATACAATCAACAATCAACTCCTAATTGTAGCCTGTGATCTCCAAAACATTTTTTTAATCTTAGAACAAGCATAATATCAATCATTCTTTTCCACTATTATGTAGAACTCTCTAATTTGATTATTACAAAATGCACACAGATTCAAAGAAACTATCTACATACGTACTTCTAATACACAGTTGAATTACAGTTGTAGTAAATTAAGAAGTTTCTAACCGATGATGTATTTTTTGTGATCAACCGAATTCCATACATGAATGAAGATATTAATGATTCGAGTAAGTAATTGCTTTTACTGGTTTGTTTTTGTTTCGTTACGTCTAGCACTAGAGATCCTTCCAGATCATACGACCATTCATACATCTTTGCACGATAAATACAAATAAAATAATGATGTACCTGAGTGTGATAAAATACAACGATCACGACACTGCGTCTAATATCAACACAATTACTTAATTAATAAACATAGGAAAAATTGTCGGGTTTTTATGTTCACAAAAACTGGATCACGTGCATAAAAAACTAACATGACTCAAAATTCCCAAAAAATTATAAACATTTTTTGCTTGAATAATTAAAATTAGTTGTCGATTTTTAGTTATTTGCGGACGATGTTATTGTGTAATTGCTATAAAAAGATCCAATATTTGTACGAATAACACTTGATGTGCAAATAAGAACACAGAATGTTGAATCTTTTTTACCATTGGAGTAATCACGACATCATTTAGTGCTCAACTCTTTTTTATAGCAGGCAGTAAAACATTTCCAGTTAACCTCTAAATGTTTAGAAGTTAAGAGTTCAATGTTTATGATGATAATTTTTTTGCAAAAATTACTAAGTATTTTAAAATATTGACCTCCTCTTTTTAGTCGGTTAAAAACCGGAAAAACAGATAAAATATTTCGACTACTACCTGTTTAAATAAATTACTTAGCTTATTTTCAATTTGCGTATATTTATATTTGAAACGTATGGAATAGTAGTTTCAATATACAAAAGAGTGTTTTGATAGAGTTTTCTGAAGTTATATTACTAAACACAGCCATGGCATCTTAAATACTTACAATACTTAGTAGTCTTATGCCCGTTTTCACCATCAATCCCTAATTTTTAAGTGACCCCTATGAAAACATAATTCCTGTTATGTTTTACCATAGGAGTCACTTAAAAATTAGGAATTGATGGTGAAAACGGGCATTAAATTCTTAAATATAAGCCTAATCTAAGCCTAATTAACTGAATAAAGAATTAAAGGCACGTGTGTGCTATGTTTGTAGAGCTGATTAGTAAGCCCTAACTTTGTACCCTAAATGCTAATGCTCTCCGAGACACCTGTCCCAGAATTTGTATTCCACACCCCGTTCCTCTTTATACTGCGGTCAGATATGGCCTAAACGATTCTGATTCAGCCATTGCGCGACTTGGGTGCAAATGGGTGTCCTGAAAAAAAATACGCTGAGAGTTCCGCATTTTACTTACCTATCATAGTTGGTACTTTTAATTTTACCATACTTGATAAGACGATTGTGGTTATTTCCTTTACTTTTTTATTGTGTCATATAATCTTGCTTTTACGTAAAACACACGTCTTGCTACATTAACGGCTCTACAAGTAGGTTAGGTAAGTACCTTAAAGTTTTATGAGTCGTTACACAATTATTCAAACATTATAACATTAATGATCATATCTTTTAATTGAATCGCAGCTTAAGCTGAGGACCGTAAACTTTTAACGTTTGATATAATTTTAGCTTAGCACTTGTTTCCGATAAAAAGGCATTTTATAATAAAGATTAAAGACTGGCAACAAAGTCTTCCTAAAGGGCTCTTAACCGATTGATAAACTCGAAAAGGGCACACTCGCGCGTTCGTCACGCCCGACTGTTAGTCTAACAGGCCCTCAAAAGGTTATCGCTCATCTCGGTTTTCGACTCAAAACAGATATTGAATGAAACGTAGGACGCCTCAAACCGTGAACCCTTATCAAGCAAACCTCGTTTCTTTGTGAAAGCCAATATCTTAGAAAGACTATAATGTGGACGTCCGACCACTCATCACGTACTGTTTGTGTATAGAGTTTACTATCAATCAAATCCGTCTTTCATCGCCCATTCGCTGGACCTTCTTCAACAAATAGGACACCAACAATAAAACTCGGAATCGCTCGGACTTGAACACGATGTAACATTTATTCTATTGATTAAATACTTTCGTTTATCGAACAAAACCCAATTTTTTTTTTATGTAGTAGATAAATAAAATATTCTGTAAGCACAAACTTGATATTGCTTTTAACGTCTTTTCACAATATGATAAGAAATTATTAGCCGCTTGACGCAGATAGTCAAAAAATAAAACACACAATATTTATAAGTAGTCAAGCGGACAGACTTTTTTCATAACCTCTCAACATCAAAGGGTTCAGGTTCAGATTTCCAAAGAAACAATTAACCTACTTGTGTGCAGAATGTGGAAACTTAATTACCACGCAAACTTTACTTACAAAGGATGCTCATCGAAAACGAAACTTCGAAACATATTGAAAGTGTAATCTGTGGTTTAGCAGAGAAAATGTTATTCTAAAAACCCAGGGGATTCAGAATAACATTATCTGAGACTGTGGAATCTTATGTAAAAATTTGACCACACAAATGGATTTTTACCATAAAACAATATATGTACCTAAATACTTTTCCAAACTATTATCTCAAACAAACAAAACATTGAGTTTGATATGAGATTTATATGTGAAAAATAATTAATTTACCATTCCATATTTTTAACAACTTTTCCAAGCGAATCAAAGATTTTTGGATTAAACTGTACCTGTCAACATAAAATATAATAATGTAATGTCACTTTCACAATATTATAATGGTTTCCCGAAAAATCAGGCACCACCCACTCGAAATTCCAATTCCTTTAAAGATTTCCTGGAAGATGTTTATTCTGTTTCTGAGCAATAAAGTCTTAAATAAACAGACCATTATCGCTTTTTGGGAGACCATTGTTTTCGTCAAACCAATAAATGAATACCTTTACCCACTGTTTTTGAATAGATACTTGAAGTTAATCAATAATTTACTCATAATTATGGTCTGAAACAATATGACAATAACACTAATATTATATTGGAGTTGTATCTAATAATATGTTCCATACTTGGCTAAACTGTAGTGTCTTTACATAATTCTGAAATAACTTTAATTAATGAAATATTTTTTCAAATAGGTGAAGTGAATCTCCGTAAGATTACAAAATCCTCTAGCCCTCTACAATTATTTAGTAGGTATCTTCATCTTTGGATACATACAACATGGTTAACAATACGTTATGAAAACCACCGGTTATCACTATAGTTACGGTCAAAGTTACGTACGAGTAGGTGGTGCAACTCAGCCTCATAGTGTAATTGAAACCATTAACCGGAATTCCTAAGGCACAAGTCCTAAACAAACTGATCTAAAATAGCCCTGGAACTCAATCAGTTTTCAATTAACTGTAAAATAAGATTTCAAATTGCTTTGAAACCAATAAATTGTCAATCAAGTTGAAGGAGTTAAGTCAAAGATTCCTTTATCTGCACAAAATCTTTTAGAGGACCACGGTTGGACAGTTCACAAAAGTAGGTCTATCGATTGATGGTGTAATCTTTTCAATTGTAAGGCTTTGGTTTTTAAGCCTTTTAATAATAGTCGTACATTAATTGACAGTTAATGAAATATTTATCTGCATCACCAAGTCAATCAGACTCATAATTAGTTATTTGGCATCGGGAAAACATAATTAATTTGTAAATCGAATATGCTATCAGAACATTTCACGTACATATTCATTAAATACGTTTATATTAAGGCTGAGTTGCAGCAACTTACTTTGACCGTAACTTTAACAATAACCAGTGCTTTTTGTATGGAATTTAACAGATTTTTGACGTTTGTTAAAGTCAAAATAAGATGGTGCAACTCAGCCTAAGAAGCAATTATTTTTGACACTTACTAAACAAAGAAGAAGTCAGTAAAGTGCCCATTGTAACTGCAAGTTCTTATTAGTTTTCCAGACTTATATTTTTCGGGCAGTTTAGGACACCTTATTGCGTCATTAAAACTTTTTCCGATAACTTTTCCAATAAAATATTTTACATCCCATCTACTTTAGTCTACAAACAGGAATATTTTCTGAGAAATACTTTTTATTCATCAATCACTTGCGTAAATGGTAGGAACATCGATAAAACGAGCGCAGGTAGCGCATAACAATGCTCTTTCATCCGTCGTTTATAGTTTATGGTGACATTTATTGCTTACAGATAGTTACAATATTATTTTCCATTAGTCGGTCAGTGATTACGACCGTCATTGCATCGTCAGTTTTACGGTGGACTGTAAAAATGGCATTTCGTGTATAAAGAAAATACACAATTTTACAAGTTTTTTTGTTTCCGAACTCAAAATTAGAGTTTCCGCAGTTTCGTGTTTAAAATTTTAAAAATCTACAAAACCTGTTTAAAAAATAAAGCTTGTAATAAACTTACATAAAAATTGTGGTGTTTCCAATCGATCAACATTTCACAAAAATCCAGTTTGTGCACATAAGAACAATAATCACGAGTCGCAAACTTTTGCCGGTTCGTCACACTCACGTCCGCACGGCAGCGCTGCGGGGCTGCGGGCCAAAGACTGGCGGCCGCGCCGTCATCGCGGCCTAAGGTCATTGCCAATCTAACCACCTCACTATAAGTAAACAAACATATTAACACTTGCACACTCATCAACTTTTTAACATTTAAGTTTGGATCATTAGGGTTGTACACTAGCTGTGCCCGCGACTTCGGGCGCGTGAAAAACGACCTCTCATTTAAGTACGCTAAGATAATGTGCTGATTGGAAGATCTACTTCATAAATCGAGACAGCAACTAAGTGGTAAAGAAAAATAATTATACCCAGCTTCGTAATTTTTATGAATTATCTATACTTACTCGTAAATACTTGCACGGTAGTAATTAAACTCAATTGAATAATTATTGTACCACAATATTTCTGTCTGAATGTAAAGCTTTATAATATACTTTACATAAAGTTGTTGAAAATACGCTGGCTCACACAAAAGATCAGCTGAAGTTTCGAAAGGTTTGCCAAGTCTGTGTAGTTCAGCGGTCAGAGCCAGTCAGAGGAGTCCTGAGGCAATCATTTGACCTGAGGCGAATTTTTCGAGTAAAAATTTTTTTTGAGTTTGAAAGTTTTGGTTAGGATCAATCAAGTGCCGTTGACACAAAATAATTATGAAGTTTTCAATTATTAGGTAATTTACAAAAATTGCTAGTAATCTTTTTAAAAAAAAATCTAAAAGATAGACTTGGAGTTGGAACTAGAATATTATAACAAAAACCAAGGATTTAAAATACTGTCTGAAGAAAAAACCATCTCGGACATAACAAAAAAATAATGACATACCTACTTTGATGTCATGGTCGTCTATTTTTAAACAGTGGTTAATTAACTTCGCCAATATTTTTGTAATTTAATACTGCTTCCGCCTTAGTTAAATGTTAATGACACGTTTTTCTAATTTCTTGTTTATTCTGTTAACATATTTTCAGTTGCTTATTTTAGTATAAAACCATTTTAATCATTTTTATTCATGTCAATCATGTTATTAAATTATTACAAAATAACACCAAGTAACCAGCCCCAAACTAAGAAAAGCTTTAAATCTTTGGAGGTTCGATTAGATATCACCTACTCAGTTCTACGATACACCAAGGAATATTGAAATGTTAAATACTCAGTACCTACCTATTCCAAAATTGACTCTAACAATAAATCGTGCAAAGTCAATAACCCAACTGCTAGTTACAATATTATTATATTCAAGACGAAAATAAAACAGTTTTATTTATTTTGGCTTCAATAACTCTCTGTGCTGTGTCTTAACTACGAAACAATAAACAAACTATATCCACCCAATGAACGGAGTGCCAAAACTCTTCCATTACATCTGTTTATCCAAATTTAAGTAGGCGTGTATTAAAATTATGATTTGCCACTTGTCTAAACAATGTTAATTATTTGAAACATTTGCTTTTCTTGTTGTAATATTAAGATTTTCTTCAGTGTGCTTACCACGAGTTCACGTTAGGTGTGCTCGCTAGCGAGTACGTCAAAAAAATCTATAAAGATTTTATTTCTTGAAAGTAGCCACTAGGGGCGCTGCACAATATGTCATACGTTTAATGTAATTTTTTACAGTCGCTAGCGAGCACACCTAACGTAAACTCATGGTAAGCACACAGAGCACGGAACCCACTGACCGGAAAACATAGGCCGGCCTCCCACTCGGTGAATCGACGTTCTGGTGAAGGATGCGGGAAGCACCTGGATGCGGGCAGCAAAGGACCTGTCTTGTAGAAATCCATTGTCTCAGCTATCTTTAAAACTTCTGTGAATGAGTACGAATATTTAAGACAGTAAGTAAGTAACGACTCTACAACTAACATGTCGAAATATTATGTGCCCAAAGCGAAATCGGATTAAACAAATGAAAGTTTTATCTGCTGTTCAAATTATTCAGAGCAGGTGGTTTTCTTTATTTTTCTTTTCCGATGAGCAGGAAAAATGAAGAAACATTAATTTTAGATCTACATGAATCGGGCGTATATTAATTTATTCATAAGTTAATAAATATACCTACTTTGTTCTTAAAATAATAAGAAAATAAAGAAGAAGCATTAAGACAACCTTTTTTTCGCTAGCCACTTATTGCATTCGGTAACATTGCTTGAAGATCATAAGTGCCTCTTTGGAACAAATAAACGATAATTTGATTTTGAATAATTGCCATTGATTCCGGCAATTATATTAAACATTTTCCTCGTGTCAATCGGGGAGCTTGTTTCCAAATATGGAGATCAAACTCGGAAAAACTCCTGATCTTAATTGTCATTATTGATCATTTATCAGACGATTAAATGTACTGGATAACGCCTATTGTATCTATCGATGGAGACAGTTTAATGATTAATGTTTTAATTGCAATCAGTTGAGTCATTGACTCTTATATACACCTCTTCAGACACACTCATAACTCTTTTTTAGCATTGTAAATTCTGTAACTTATTATTTTTAATCGTGACTGTCAATACGAATCATTGTGGTAGGTATTATTGATTTAGAGATGTGTATTTGTCGTCTCAAATCGATATTATACCTACTTGATGAGATTTTATCGAGACGCCGATGCTTAAATCTTTCGTCGCAAGACCGATTTTCCGATTCTAAATTCGATGGGTCCGAAACCAATGACCAATTAAAAGGAGTCGCCAAATTGAAATTTTCACGGCGTCTATTCTCAAACCCCTCTCAACTCGATGAACTTGTCGCCGCATCACTATCGAAGCTTAACTTTCCCTTTTAGCCAAACTTCGTTGTTTAGGTTTAATTGGCGGTTCTGAATTTCGACATAGGACTTCAGATAGTACAGCAGTGCTAACAGGTATTTAGTATGAGACCATAGAGAAAAGTTGTAGAAAGCCCAATTTTCATGGATTCATCTCGCATCTACTAACTCCAGTTTTCTCGTGTGATTTCGGTTTCACAATCATTTTATATAAAAAAAAATTGTTTAAATTTTTCATTTTAGTAATTCCTGNAATTCCTGTTTATGAAACCTAAATAATGCTTGAAAATCTCATCAAAATCAAAACTTATGAAAATCTCATAAAAATCTGTGCAACTGTTTTGGACAATAATTAATTAGCATTAACTTAGACAAGCAAGGATTTTTGAATAGATAAAATTAAACTTATTAAGGAATGGAGGCCGCGTACCAGAAAACGCAGCGTGGGACGTCCACCTACAAGGTGGACCCACGACAACGTAAAGGTAGCAGGGAAGCGCTGGACGCAGGCCGCTACCAATCGATCAACGTGAAAAGCATTAGGGGAGGCCTATGTTCAGCAGTGGACGTCCTATGGCTGAAATGATGATGATGAAACTTATTAGGTCCCGTACACATTCACAATATTATGTAACCAGTAAAACATGTTACTTAGGTATAGCAAAGTGCAAGTGCAAAATTCAATCACGTACAATGGCTCGCGCGTCGAAATACCTTCTAAACTCATAGATTCTAGATTCTACTAATTCTTTTGCTCATCGAATGCGTTCAGTACAGCTTAAGGCGCAAACTTGCACAAACTTTCAATTGATTTACTTTATTATACGAGTCTCAGTATTAGGCTGAGTTGCACCATCTTACTTTGACTTTGACGAACGTCAAAAAGCTGTCAAACTTCATACAAAAAGCACCGGTTATCGTTATAATTACGGTCAAAGTTGCTCAGCCTATACGCCCGTATTCACAAACTTAACTATGAGGTCTCACAGTGCGCGTGGACGCACAGGGTCATACACGAACCAATCACAGAACTTTATTCAACGCTGTGTGTTCGATTTTCTGCTTCACTTAAGCAAGCATCGTTGGTGAATACGGGCGTAAGTATTGGCATAGTAATTCGCCTTTGTCTTTTGTACAGATGACAGCACGTCAAGGTAAACACAGGGTTCTTATTTAGTAGCAATTAGACGTGCGCGCCGCCGCCATAAGGAGTCAGCGCGCCGCCGCCGCCGCCGGTAGTTTAAAATTCGCGCCGAGACAAAACCCGCAAGAGAGTACAAGTTTAAAATCAATCTAATGTGAAGCGGGCAACGGAGCTGGCAGATATTGACAACCATCTTTCGTTTTACTCGAGGGAATAACGCCAGAGGCATGGAACAGAAGCGTGGTGGTGCTTTTCTTCAAGAAAGGAGAAACACCTTACTGAAGAATTACAGACCCATCTCGCTTCTGAGCCATGTTTACAAGCTGTTTTCGAGAGTCATCACGAATCGTCTCGCACGTAGGTTTGATGACTTCCAGCCTCCCGAACAAGCCGGTTTCCGGAAAGGTTATAGTACCATAGACCACATCCATACGCTGCGGCAGGTTATACAGAAGACTGAGGAGTATAACTTGCCACTATGTTTGGCGTTCGTGGACTATGAGAAGACCTTTTGATTCGATTGAGACGTGGGCAATGCTGCAGTCTCTCCAGCGGTGCCGTATCGACTATCGGTACTTCGAGGTACTAAAGTGCTTGTACAAAAACGCCACCATGTCGGTCCGAGTACAGGAGCAAAGCACGAGGGCGATTCCTCTACAGCGAGGCGTAAGACAGGGAGATTTTATATCTCCGAAACTCTTCACCGCGGCATTGGAAGACGCTTTCAAACNAAAGTCTACAACCAATGTGTGTTACCTGTGATGACTTATGGCTCGGAAACGTGGCCCCTCACTATAGGCCTTATACAGAAGCTCAAAGTTGCACAGCGTGCTATGGAGAGGGCTATGCTCGGTGTCTCTTTACGAGATCGAATCAGAAATGAGGAGATCCGTAAACGAACTAAAGTCGCTGACATAGCCCGACGGATCAGCAAGCTGAAGTGGCAGTGGGCAGGGCACATAGTACGCAGAACTGACGGCCGATGGGGCAGCAAGGTTTTGGAATGGAGGCCACGTACCGGAAAACGCAGCGTGGGACGTCCACCCACAAGGTGGACCGACGACCTGATAAAGGTAGCAGGAAGGCGCTGGATGCAGGCCGCTACCAACCGTGCGATGTGGAAG